TTCTGGGGTCTGAACCCTCCAGGCCCAGAGGGAAGGAGGCGGGCGGTGGGGAGGGGAGTGTCAGAGCCAGGGCTCGGGGGTCTGGGTTCTGGTTGGGGTTCTGTTCTTTGCCCCGTCTCACAAACTCGGGGAGCTTGAACCTGGATAAGAAAAAAATAAGTATTTTCTCCGTCTCTGGCCCCAGCGGAGCCTGCCTTCACTGTGGGTGCTGGGGGCCTGTGCGGGCGGGGACGTCAGGGCTGCCTGCACGCAGCTCCCCGCGGTGGCTGGTTACCGGTGGCGCTAAGCCCTGGTGGCCTTCCTCAGTCTGGGACCTTTCCGTTCGTGCCTGTGAGTCCCGTGGACTGTTTCGTGCACTGAACACCTGAGTCGGGTCCCCAGGCCCCAGCACACTCGCAGGAGCGCCATCGAGACGCGAGCCTCCTCTCCGGCAGGCCTGCCCTGCACAGCGTGGACCTGGATCGGGCAGCCGCTCTCCCTGTCCTCCAGGAGCTCACCTGCGTCCGGCCGTGAGCTCCTCGGGGCCAGAGCCCGCGTCTGCCCCCGTGCCAGCGCCAGCCCAGGACCCCGAGGGCCAGGGCCCACCCCACACCGCCCGCCCGCCCGCCCGCCCGCGCAGGGCCCACCGGTGCTCCAGGGCGTCTGTGTGGCTCATCCCAGCACAGCCTCCTCAACTGCTGACGTGCAGGTCCTTAGGTCCTCGGAAGAGACTTCCGTTCTGATCAGGGTGCTGCCAGCCGGTGGAGGGAGAGCTTCCCTGCTCCCTCTGCAGCCGCAGGAGGTAACGCGGGGCCACTCACGGGGCTCAGGCAGATGTTGCCGCCGGGTGGGGCGGCTGGGGAATTGGCCTTTGGGGATGTACAGTCTCACTGAGTCTGTGTCCTCGGCTGACAGAGCTGCTGGCGTGACTTGTCTGGACTTTGGGGGGGCGGGGGGCTGGCGGTGGCCTTGGCTCTGGTTCGGAGGTTAAGTTAGCACCAGGGACGCGGCGCAGGGCACAGGTGCGTCGAGTTATCCTGTGTGACAGGCTGAGTGACTGACTGTACTACGTCCGACCACCTGGCCGGGACACGGGACATGCACTGGCGATTTAAAAATGAACCTTGACTTGTGCACACGCGATACATATAAGCTCTCGGAATGGGTATTATTGAAATCCCCTGTGAAATGACTTGTAACGGATATATTATTGAAGCTACCTTTGCAAATAGCATATCTATAGATAATATTTTTAAAAATCTAAATGTGCGATTCTTTGTTCCAAAAATGAGCGTGTTCATAAATGAAGAAATTTTGGATATACTCGATGGAGATTTTCACATCTGTTTGAGTGCTGATTCCATCGATTCAGTGGATGATGCTGAGAAGGAAAATTTTCCCATCGAATTACTTAATAGTATTATTCCTTCGGGAATGCCGGGTCATAAGTTAAAATTGAAAGTAGACACAATCCTCATGCTACTGAGAAATCTTAATAGTAAATGGGGTCTTTGTAATGGTACTAGATTTATTATCAAAAGATTGCGACCTAACATAATCGAAGCTGAAGTATTAACAGGATCTGCAGAGGGAGAGGTTGTTCTCATTCCAAGAATTGATTTGTCCTCATCTGACACTGGCCTCATTTAAATTAATTCGAAGACAGTTTCCCGTGATGCCAGCGTTTGCGATGACAATTAATAAATCACCAGGGCAAAGTAGACGGAGTAGGAATATCCCTACCTGAACCTGCTTTCACACATGGTCAGTTACATGTTGCTTTCTCTCAAGTTTGAAGAGTGTATGACATTCAAATTGAAGTTGTAAATACTTGATCACAAGGGAAATGAGTCAAGCACTCTGAAAGTGTTTTTACTCTTAATGTGGTGTACAGGGAGATATTAGAATAAGTTTAACAAATTTACAGTCATTGTTTTGATCAGTGTTTTTATATCGTTTTTGTTGTTTTTATATCATGTTTTTTTGTTTTTATGTCACGTCTTTGTTGTTATATCATGTTATTGCTTATTAATCAGCTTACATATTTTCAGATACATTTTACTAATTTCCTTTCATCTCTGACACTCCTACCACAGAGAAAGGGCGAATAGCGATATTAAAATATTTCTTGTAATTAATTTCCTGTCAATGTGCACGAATCCATGCACCAGCCACTCGTTTCAAAATAAAAGGTTTCTTTAAAAATTGTGGGAAACACTCATTGGTTTTAGCAAAGGGAAAAGGCAATTTGCTGCCGTGAGTCACCCTTTTATTTTTTAATCGTTGGGGTAGTAAGTCCAGTGGCAGTTTGGGCTCTGACCCTGCGCCGGTGGGGACGTGGGCTTCCCCTGGGGAAGGAAGGGGGCTCCTCGGGGACAGCAGTTCTGGGACCCGCCTCCGTCTGTCCCTGAGCTCCGGGCTCTGCAGGGCCTGGCTGGCTCAGCTGTGGACAGAGGCTGTGGTTGGGGCTCACTCGGCCTCAGGGGCCTCTGGCGCAGCTCCAGCCGTGGCTGCCCTTTGGGACTGGCCACCTCTGCAAACAGGCTGAGCCAGCAGCTGCCTCTCCCAGCCCAGGCCTCCCGCCCTCCCTGTGGCCGCCCGAGAGCAGCGTCACTTTCAGTGCACACCTCCCTCACCCACAGGGGCTGAGGGGTGGGAGGCGGTGGAGGTGTTCTCCTGAGGGAGCCCAGGCCACCCCACCCGGGGCTCTGCTGTGATCGTGCCGGGTGGCTGCACCCCTCCCTCCCAGCCAGCAGCCTCCACATCACAGGCCGTGTGAGCTCTGGGGACAGAGCAGCGACACCTCCCAAGTCCCGCTCCCCTGGGCCTCACCCCAGGCCCTGTCAGAGCAGCTCGCCGGCAGCCATGCATCCTGGTGGCACTTTCTGGTGAAGGAGCAGACGCCAGGCACCGCCTGCCGGGCGGGTGGTGGGAGGCGCCCGGTAAAGCTGGGCTCTGCGGCTGGTGCCAGGCTTCTGGGCGCAGAGTGGTGTCGGGTGCCGGTCAGCCCCCCCCGCGCCCCCCGCGCCCTTGCTCCTGGGAGCTCCAGCTCCCTGCCTGTGCTCCCGGCCGGCGTGGTGGGCGTGTGGCTCCAGACAGCAGTGTGTGCATGCTCGGCCTGGGGGCCTCGGACGGCCGTAGGCAGCAGTGGGGTCGTCGTCCGCAGTAGGGCTAAGTGCTAGGGCTTCTGTCTCCTGCTGGGGTTACTTTCCTGTATTCCACGTTTTGGAAAATAAACGCCCAACCCACGCAGGGAGGGTGCCCCAGCACCTGCGGAGGCAGAGGTGAGGCAGGTGCGCCCTGGCTGTGGGCCCGGCTGCCTCCGGGCCGGCCGTGCGCTTCCACAGACCTCACCCAGGAAAGCGTGTCCCTGGCCTGACCGCCCCGAGCGTGGGGTCAGTAGCTCCCTCCAGCGGGCAGTGCGGGGTCTGGTGCCTCATCCCGGCTCTGCTGCTGGCGGCCGGGCCAGGCCTGTGCAGAGCCCACACCCTCAGCCCAGCTGCCTCAGAGGCTCCGGCGTCAGGGCTCGCGTCCTGGTGCTGATGGCGCGACCTGGTGCTGGCGGCCGGCAGCTGGGCGCTCTCCGTGTCCCCGGCAGGCAGCTCTGCCCACAGCCGGGCCCGGCCTCAGCCTCTCCCACTCCTTGTGGACGAAATGCTTTGTCTTCATGCTGGACGCCTGTGGACGGGCGGGCAGGCGGTCATCCCAGCAGCCTGGGGACTGCAGTGCTCAGAGCACCCCCCTCACCCCCCGTCCAGCCCCGAGGCCCAGGTGAGCACGCGTGCCCTGCAGCCTGTCACTCGGGCTCACTGTGGGGAGGGGGACACCCCACTGAGTGACCGTGTACTGTCTCAGGCAGGAAGCCCAAACTGGACAGTCCAGAGCCCCGGGCCATGCTCATGTCTCCAGGGGAAGCCAGGGCCCTTTGGGGGGCCCCACCCCCACAGGAAGAGCAGAGAGAGGGTCCCTAGGGCACGCCTGTGCCAGGGCCGCCCTCAGTCCGACCCTGCTTGGCCTGAGCAAGTGCTGGGGCCCAGTCATGGGCACCAGACGCAGCCTGGTACCCACGTGGGGTGCACAGCCCAGCACCCCTCTGCCCCTTGCTGCACTGCACTGCCCGAGGCTGCCGACGGCTGGGTGCTGACCTGAGCCCCCATGTGCTGCCTGAGCCTGGTGGTCAGGCCATTGGCCCGGAGAGCCCAGGCAGCGGGTGACGCCTCAGCGGTGGGGATGGGTGGTTGTCTTGCTGCCGCCAGGCTTTCTGGGGTGCCCGCAGGCCGTGGTCATTGCCACCATCCTCCGGGACTGGGCACGCCCCTTCCACACACAGATGCCCCGAACCTCTGCTGCCCTGCCCCCCAGCCGGCGGTCTGTGTGTGCACACGTGCGGGGAGCCGGAAGGAGGCCCTCGAGGTGGCCTGTGAGCCCAGCCCAAGGCAGAGGGTGCACGGGCTGCCTGTGAGGCTGCCACCCCCAGGCCCTGACGCTGGTGAATTCCACCTGGCTCGGAGTAGGAGGGAGGGGCTGACAGAGCTGGGTTGGTTTGTTGTTTTAGAAGATTCCAGAAGGAGCAAGTGTTGTCAAGGGACTGGCGCTTTATGGGGGGCCTCCTAGGGGGCGTGGGCGTGGGCGTGGGCGTGGGGGGAGCAGAGGACGGAAGGGGCTGGAGCCCCACTCTGCTCGGCTCTGCACTGGGGCCGCGGTCCCGGGCCGTCCGTCCTCTGAGGGCCCACCTGACCCAGAGTGAACAGTGTCCATCTTCCTGGGAGAGTGGTCGCCGCCCAGCCCCCAGTGGGAGGGAGGAAGGGGGGCCCTGCCCTGTCAGAGGAGAGCCAGCCGCCCCGGCCCAGGGCAACACCAGACCCCAGAGCCGGTCTGCTCCCGCCCAGCCCTCTGCTGGGTCAGCTCTGACCGCTGAGCGGGCGGGACGGCGGGGACGTGGGTCTGCACCCCTGGCCGAGGGCGGGGTCGGGGTCGGGAGTGAGTGCAGCTCCTGGAACCCAGACGGGTCCCTTTCCCAGGAGAGCGCGAGCTCAGAGGCGGAGCTGACCCCGGAGGAGAAGCGGGTCCTGGAGAGGAAGCTGAAGAAGGAGCGGAAGAAAGCAGAGAGAAAGCGGCTCCGGGAGGCGGCGGCTGCAGTCCCGGCCCAGCCCCTGCCAGCCAAGCCCTCGGGCGCCCAGCTGGCCCTGGACTACCTCTGTGGGTGAGAGGCCGCGGGGGCTGGGGGGGCTGGGCTGTACCCCAGGTCTGTGGTCCCTGGGAGGATGGGGCGGCCCGTTCTGGCCGGGGCTGCCCCGTGAAGCGCCCCTGTCCCCGGCAGACGGGTCACCTACAGCTGGGCGGCCGGCGGGCCCCCACCCCAGAGGAATGGCAGGTGGGCCCGGTGCACCCCCACCTCACCCCGGGCCTCGCTCCATGTCTGTGCCCTCGGGCTGGGGGGCTCCCAGAGCCCCCCTGGACACTGGGAGCCTGGACACTGCCCCGGCCACGCAGAGGCCACCCGGCCAGTGGTGCAGACAGACCCCAGGCCTCTGCCTGGTGCTGAGACCCCGTGTCCTCTCCAGCTGGGCCCAGAAGCGCCAGAGCTGGCGGTTCCAGAAGACGCGGCAGACCTGGCTCCTGCTGCACATGTACGACTGCGACCAGGTGTGTGCTGGGGGCGGGGCCGGGGGGGGGCCGAGGAGGGCGGGGTCAGGGGGCGGAGGGGGTCCCCCAGCCCTGCCTGCACCGCCCCTCCCGTCTCTGCCCCTGACCCTGCACAGTGGTGCCTCCTTCCTTCCTGTGCTGGGGGCCCAGTTCAAATAGAACCTGGGCGGGGCAGGCCTACAGCACCCCTCCCCTTGCACCACCCCCAGGCCCTCAGTCCCCGGGTGAGAACACTGGGCAGCGCCATGGGCCTGAGGCACCCGCGGGAGGGCCGGAACCCAGCGTCCTCCCGCCTGGCTGCTGACCGGCCCTCGTCTCTCTGCACAGGTCCCCGACCAGCACTTCCCCACCCTGCTGGCCTACTTGGAGGGCCTGCGGGGCCGGGCAAGGGAGCTGACCCTGCAGAAGGCTGAGGCCCTGATGCAGCAGCTGGACGAGGCGGGTGCGGGCCCGGGCCGCCCCCTGCTGGAGAGGAGCCGGCGCGCCCGGCAGGTGCTGCAGCTGCTCTCCTAGGGCCACAGGCCCCACCAGGTGCCAGCCCAGCTGCCCTCGGGCCCGGACGCTGCCTGTTTTCTACCAGGGCCCAGAGCCTGGCAGAGCTCCCGTCCCGCCCGCTGCAGGCCACGTGTTTCCTGGCCGCGGGGAGCCTCCCGGGCCGTGGCCGTCCACCTCTTGCCTCCCTGCTTGGGCCAAACCACGGCCTTGCTGCCCGCTCCAGGGGAACTGGCTGTACTTCCAATAAAGCGGCCACGCCGGCCACAGCTCTCGTCCTTCGTCCGTCCTCGCTTGCTTGCAGGTTGGGAGGGGTGTTTCCTGAGGGAGAGCGCGGCCACCAGGCCGTCCTGCCGTGCCCGCCCAGGACGTGCCCGGCGTCTGTCGCTGGCCCTCCTTCAGGATGACCCTCCTCTGGGCTGGCCCTTGGCAGCGGCCGCAGAGACCATGGCGCTGCCCTCCCACAGCCGCCCACTAGGAACACTTACCTGCTGTCTGTCTGTCTGCACGAAGATGGACCTGCTCTCCTGTTCCCAGGCAGTGCATGTGTGGGGCCCCGGAGGCACAGGGGCCCATCGGGGCGAGGGGAGGAGTCAGGGCCAGTCCCTTGCTGATCTCTGGGGCCTCGGCGTCTATTCACCTGCAACCCAAAGCCCTGTCTCAGGCGTCACACCACCCCTCCCATCTGGCACCCAGGGGTCAGCACCCCACCGTGCTGTGTGGCAACTTGGGCCCCTCCAATGCCCGCTGGTGCAGCTCAAGTCCTGATCTCACATACACAGCTATATGCACACACGTGTGTACATGCACACAGCTTGTGTGCACACGTGTGCATATCTACACATGCAGGCACGTGTGCACACCTATGCACGCTCACACGTGTCTATACACACCTGTTCGTGTTCACATGTGTGTGCACGTATGCCTGTACATGCTCACACGTGCACATGCAGGTACACATGGTTGCACACACATACACTCCAGGCAGGGAGCGAGAAGAGCTTCAGGACTGAGCCTCAACACCCTCTCAGCCCTGGGGTTTGCCCTGGGGGTGGCCTCAGCTCCGCTGGATTTGTTTTGGGTTTTTGGTTCATCTTCCCCTGAGGATAGTTTTCCGTTGATTTTTAGAGAGTGGGAGGGAGGGGAGGGAGAGAGAGAAACGTCAGTGTGAGGGAGACACACCCACTGGCTGCCTCCAGCACACACTCCAGCCAGGGCCAGGGCTCAAGCCTACAACTGAGGTACATGCCCTTGATGAGAATTGAACCCGAAAAAAAAAGGAATTGAACCCAAGACCCTTCAGACTGAGGGCCAATGCGCTGACCACTGAGCAAACCAGACAGGGCTCCGCTGGGTTCTCCATCGGCAGGTGGACGTCGCCCCTCAGAGCCCTGGGAGCTGAGGCCGCCCCCTGAGTGCCCTGGAGGGTTTGCTCACCGTCTGGTCCGTCAGTTTGATTTTGGGGGGCTTGGGGGACCCCTGTGGGTGGCTAGGGGCCAGCACTGGAGCCACAGGCAGATCTGGCCAAGGGCACCTCAAGGCAGGGGTGCTGGGCACAGGTGTTCAGAGCCCATCGCCCACCAGCGTGGTCCTGCGTCAGGCCCGCCTGCCCCTCTGACCCACACGCAGAGGCACCTGGCCAGGGCCAGACTGCGTGCAGCTCCGAGGATCGGCCCGCAGTCGAGTCCCGTCTGTGTGGCCGGCGGATGCCCCATCCCAGGCCAGGTTTCCACGGTGAGGAGGGAAGTGAGGCCTGGCAGTGGCTCACTTTTTGGTGTTTTTTTTTATATATTTATTAATTTCAGAGAGGAAGGGGAAGGAGAGAGAAACATCAGTGATGAGAGAGAATCACTGATCAGCTGCCTCTTGCAGGCCCCACACGGATCGAGCCCACAACCCGGGCATGTCTGACCGGAAACCGAACTGTGACCTGCTAGGTTCATAGGTCAACACTCAAACCACTGAGCAACACCGGCCAGGCTCACTCTTGGTTTTTATTAACTTGTCCCCACGGGAGGAGGGTGCCCCCACACTGCCTAGTTTGGGGCCTGGCTGCACCCTCGGCAGCCTGTCTGCACGGGGAGATGGGGGAGATGTCTCAGAATCGGGCCCAGGGCGGGGGGGTGCAGGTTTCATGGGTCAGACGGACTTGGAGGAGAGGCTGCACCAATGGGCACGGGCGCGGGAGGGGCTGGTGGGGGTCCTGGTGCAGGGCAGCGGCTGAACCCCGGGCCGGGGGAGGGGCAGATGAAAAGAGGTGGGGCCCTGGCTGCTCCTGGAGAGGAGGGACAAGAGCCAGTGTTGGGGTGCGGGGCCTGGAGGATGGCCTGCCTCCATGGCCCATGCGGGGGAAGGGACAGCTGCCGGCCCGGGCACACTGCCGGACGGGGCTGTGGTGAGCGAAGGGCTGGTGAGGACTGTCTGTCCAGGCCGCCGCCAGGCCAGTGACCCAACCCTCCCGGGCCCAGAGCTCAGGCCAGGCCTCCTCGGTCAGTGCCCTGGGGCCTGGGCACGGCACACAGGACTTGGGCCGGCGGCCGCATGGTGAAGGCGGGCGCGGGCACAGTGCGCAGGCCGGCAGGGCCGAGGCCGGGCGGGGGCTGCAGGCGGAAGCTCTGGAGGAGGCCGGCGAAGAGCAGGAACAGCTCTGTCCGGGCCAGGCTCTCCCCGAGGCAGACGCGGCGGCCTGCGGGGAAACCGAGGCAGGGGCGTCAGCTCCCAGCTGGGTGGCGGGGCTCCAGCCCCCGAGATCCCGGGCCCCGAGGTCCCAGCCCCTGAGATCCCGGGCCCCGAGGTCCCAGCCCCTGAGATCCTGGCCCAAGGTTCCCCGCTCCCGAGGTCCTGGGCCCTGAGGTCCCAGCCCCCGAGGTCCCGGCTCGCAGCTGCCCACCCGCGGAGAAGGGCAGGAAGGCCTCCCGCTTCACGAAGTGCCCCTCGGCGTCCAGGAAGTGCCCCGGGTTGAACTGGCCGGGCGTCTCCCACTGCGTCTTGTCCAGGAGGACGGAGCTCAGCAAGGGGACCACGGGCGTGCCCTGTTGGGGGAGCAGCTGGGTTGGCTGGGGTGCCTGGCCCCCCGCAGGCCCTGGACAGGAGCCCTAACAGGGTCCCGGGGAGGCCGGCGCCCGCGAGGGCGGCCCCAGGGTGGACCCCGCACTCGCTGCGCCCCCCCGTTTCACAGGGGACCCCAAACCACAGGGGGACCCAGGCCTACTGCTCCGACGCCCTCCCTGCCACCGTGTAAGCCCAGCATCAGGGCACCCGCCGCCTCCCCTCCCCCAAGAGAGCCGGTGCGGCTTGGGGCTGTGGGCGAGGCCGGCCGCCCACCTTGGGGAGCAGGTAGCCGCCCAGCCGCGTGGTGCCGGCCGTGCAGCGGGGCACGTGGGGCAGGAGGGTGATGAACCTCTGCACCTCGTGTAGCACAGCGTTGGTGTAGGGCAGTGCCCGCTGGTCCTCGGGCCGGGGTGGCCGCCCGGGCCCCAGCACCCGGTCCAGCTCTTCCTGCACCCGGTCTGCAGGCGAGAGAGGGCGCCAGTGTCCCTGAGGGCCTCCGTCCCTGGGCCCCGGGGCCCCGCCCACCGGGGGCTGGCGCACACCCACCCTGCACGCTCGGGTGCCTGCCCATCAGGAGGGCTGCCCACTGCAGTGTGGCCGAGGTGGTCTCGGTGCCGGCCATGACCATGTCCAGGACGCAGGCTACCACATTCGCCTCCGAGAACAAGCCATCGGGGTCTGTCCCCTGCGGGCGGGTGGGCAGGACTTAACGGAGGCTGCCCCCAGCCCCCCAGCTCTGGGCTCCAGAAAAGGGGCAGAAGCCAGACTTGGCGGGAAGGGCAGCGCCAGGATCCCTGAGCACCTGCCGTGCACGCGGGGCTCACCCGTCCTCCCAGCTGCCCCGCGGCACCGGCCCCTCTCACAGGTGGAGACAGAGGCTCAGGGAAGCCCCAGGCGCCGGGGGAGGAGCTGGGCAGGACCAGGTGGGCGGGGGGGGGGGGGCAGGCATGGGGAGAGGGGGGGGCTGGCCCACACCTGGCCTTGCTGCCTCAGGGCGTCCACGTAGCTGTGCACGGGGCCTCCCCCAGGCGGCCGCGCCTCGAGGAGGGCCCTCAGGATGGCCCGCACCTCGTCGATCTTCCTCAGGACCGGCCGGTGCAGCTGGAGGAGGGCCCCCAGCCGGGGGTAGATGTTGAACAGCTGGGGGCAGGGCAGACAGCCAGTGGGGGTGGGTGAGGCTCAGTCCCCACGCCCCGGGTGGACAGAGGCGCCTGTCCGAGGGCCGGAGGAGCCTGGTGACCAGTAACACCTGGGAGACCAAGTGCCCTCTGCTCCCCACCCACCGAAGCGGGCGGTGGGGCGGGCTGGAGGGCGCCGGCTGCGCTGTGGGGAGCTGTGGGGAGAGCTAGTCGCTGCCACTGAAAGGGAGGAGTTTGCCACCTCAGGCCTCGGCTCGGCCCTCAGCCCCTCTGAACCGGCAGCCGGGTGGGCACGCCCTGTACCTGCACAGCTGTGTCCCAGGAGCAAACTACGGCACCTGGGCCAGCACCGGGGCGGTGAGCGGGCACGGGGCGGGGGGCTAGAGCCTTCGGCTGCCGGGTGCCAAGCGGCCAGCCCATATCCGGTGGCTCCGCCATGGGCCTTGGTGCGGCGCTGGGCCCGCGGCCTCCCGAGGGGGGGACGGCCTGTGCAGGGACGCAGCGCCCCGCCACCTGCTCCCCGACCAGGATTAGGGCTCAGACGCACTTCCCAGAGCAGCGCTGCCCAGCCCGGTGCAGGCCATGGCCCGTGGAGGCGGGCGGACTCGAGACTGAGTTAACTGAAGTTTCCGTGTTTCTTAGGGTTCTAGGGGCCTCGCGTGCAGCTTATAAGTACGTTTTGTGACATGTTTCTGCATTTCAGTTCTCTGTTATGTTTTGCAACTTTGCTATTTCCTCATCTCTCTTCATGTTATTACTTTAACCATTTCCCAGTGATTCTTCCTCAGTGTCCAGCTGTCCTCTCGTTCTTTTGTGTTTCTCGTTCGTGGAGACCCTGTTCTCTGGGAGCCTGTGCGGCCCAAGGTCATGGCCTTCGAGGCTTCCTCCACGTGAATAACAAGAATTCTCTGTCATGGGGGCATCAGGGGGGCGAGGCCCCCAAAGGTGGGAACCACTGCCCTCGCCGACCTCCCCGCTCCGGGCTGGTGGCCCAGGCGACCTCCGACCTCTCACCTGCAGGCCCGGCGTCCCCAGCAGGACCATGACGTCGTCGATGAGGCCCAGCAGGGACACGAACACGGGGTCTCGGTAGTCAAACCGCTGCCCGAAGAGGAGCGTGAAGGTGACGTTGGAGGGAGCCCAGCCCAGCAGGGCCAGCGGGAAGGGCCGGCCTGTGGGGAGACAGGCCTCAGCAGGGAGGGGCCCCGGGGAAGGGCCCCCCCGGCCCTCACTCACCTCCGTACTGGTCCAGCTGCCCCAGGAGGCACCGCAGCTCCCGCAGGACCTGGTCGGCCCCGGGCCCCCGCCCCGCGCCCAGGCCGTGGAGGGTGCGCACGGCGAGCTGGCGCGCGGCTTTCCAGCGAGGCCCCGAGGAGAAGAAGATGCCTGCAGGCCACGGGGGGGGGGACCCCAAAGGCAGGCACTCACTGTCCCGCTGTCTCCCCGGCTGCCTCGTCCCCTCTGACGTGCAGGGTCCCCGCACACCGCCCCCACCCCCACGTGGACACCCCGTCCCCCCTCTCCCCATTGCAAACCTACCCCTGCCCCCCTGGATGAGCTGGAAGATGGGGATGGGGGGCCGGTCGGCCAGCTCCTGCCCCGTGCCCACCAGGGCCTCCCGGACCGCCTCGTAGCCCGTCAGCACCACCGTCTTCTGGCCTCCCAAGTGGACGGTGAACACCGGCCCGTACTGTTCTGAGAGCTGGCAGTGGGGGGGCCGTGAGGAGAGGCCCGGGAGCCGCACAGCGGACTCCACAGAGCCCCCTGCACCTTCCAGAAGGGGCACCGCCTGTGGTGCTGGGTGTGGCCGTCCTGGGGGGACGCTCCGGGGGCAGGATTGAGGGCTGTGCGCCGGGGTGGCCGCCCTGGACGCTTGGGGCCTGCACAGGAGCCCCCCCGGGCCTGCACAGGAGCCCCCCCGGCCCCGCCCCTCGAAGGGCCCGCCTGGCCCGTGTGTCTCACTCTGACCTCCCGGCCGGCGTGAGGGCACAGAACAACATGCCAGCAAGCGCTGGCCTTGGGGGCCCCGTCCCAGTCCCCGCCCCTTTCTGGCCCCACCACACCCCTGCCCGAGGTGGGGGCTGCCATCCTCCTGCTGAAGCTGGGGCTGGGGCTCGGCCTCGGCCAGCGCTCCGGTCCTGGCCGCTCTGCCCCAGCTTCAGCGGGAGCATGGCAGCCTCAGGACCCAGAACCCAGGCCTGCAGCCATGTGCAGCCCCTCCCCACCCACCTGCAGTCTGCCGCCCAGGGAGGTGGAACCGCCACCAGCTGCCCCTCTGGGGGGCAGCCCCGTGTGTGCTGCTCCTGGGAGTCCTGCGCCCTCCCCTCCACTGCCCCAAACCTGCCCCTGCAGCAGTCAGGGTCTCTCCAAATGCTGCCTCTTCCAGGAAGTCCTCCTGGCTCTCTGCTCCTTGGATGGCCCATCTTCAACGTGCAGTGGAGTCTTTCTCCTCCCAAGGCAAGCGGGCAGCTGGGTCCCTGTGTCCCTACCAGTCCAGCACCTGGCTGGACCACGAGCCTCCTAACCCACAGGGGTCCCCGAAAACTGGGGCTCTGCTTCCTCAGGGAAGGGTGTCGCACGGCTGCAGGACGCCTCCCCTCTTACCTCCATCAGCGAGCGCTCCTGCTGGGACACCCGCAGCAGATGCAGGTTCCCAATGAGGGGCAGCGGGCGCGGCCCTGGGGGCCAGCGTGGGACCGGGCAGGGGGCACGGGCACGGGCGTGGGCGCGGAGCAGCACCCAGAGCCCCAGGAGCCCCAGGAGCCCCAGGAGCAGCGGGGCCATGAGGACGCGGTGGTGGGGCCCCCCGTCCCGCCCTGCGCCTTATAGGCCTCCGAGAGGGCGTGCCGCACCCCACACCCACCACCCGAGAATGTGGAACAGGCAGTTTGCAGGGGACAGCCAGGCGGCTTAAAGCGACAGGCGTGTGTGGAATGTGGGGTCGCGTCTGCAGGGGGCGGGTGGGGGCGGTGGGGGCAGGTGCCCCAGCCCTGTGCGTGGGCATCCCGGCAGGCGGGAGAGAGGACGTGGGTGGCCCGTGGCCCCTCCCGGCAGCCCCCCGCCTCTGCCTCAGTTTCCCCATCAGAACCAGGACTCCGGGCTCAGGGGCCCGTCCCCGCCCCGAAGGGGGAGCCCAACTTCCCTGCTGAGCCTCCCCGCTGGCCCCATGGCCACGCATTCCTGGGCCTCTCCAACCCACCACCATCTGTGCCCACCCAGCCCCTCTCGTGGGCCATTGGGGGCACCCCGGGCTGGTCCTCGAGGGGCTGCACGAGACACCTCGGATCCCAGGCCGTCAGGTCGCCAGCAGGGCCCCCACCCGGCCCTGAGTGACAGCTGCACTTCGGTGGCTGTGGGCTCCGTCACCTGGGCCTGAGGCACCAGCCTGCGCCAGGACAGGGCGGGGCTGACCGCCCAGAGGCCAGCCCTGCAGCCGGCTGGCGGGTGACAGGTGGCCGGTTAACGAGCCCTTGTCCTGTCTCCTGAACCCCGGTCACCCAGCAGGGAGGGGAGGAGGCACCGCTGAGGAAGGAGCTGGGAGGGGCGGGAAGCTGTTGGCACCAGAACTGGCCGGGCCTGCTCCCACCACCTGCCCCGACAGGAGGCCACCGGCCCGGCCCCACCGGCGGGTCCCCACCACAGGCCTCTGCCCGCCCCCTTGGCTGCACTGCACGCCTCCGTGGCGGGGGTGCTCACGCCTTTGCACGTGGCCTGTCCTACCGCCCGACTGGGATACGGGCGGGGGCGGGGGGGACAGCTAACTGTTGGGGCTTCGGTCATTCGGGCCGAGCTCCCCGCACCCAGGCTGCTGCCAGGCGTGGGGCTGGGTCCTCCGTCCAGGGACGGTCACTTCACTGGCAGCTTCGACAGAGCACCCGTGTGTGCGGCTCGGCCAGGAGAGGGCGGCAGGGCTGGTGGGCAGGGTCCTAAGGGCCCCAGCCTCGCGGAGAACCAGCCGGCAGTGACTCTGCGTCGAGAGCCCCTTGGGCAGCGGGCCACCAGGTGTGAGGAAGGCCCGGGGTCCTCAGAGGGTCCCCCTCCCGAGGGAGCCGCCTGCAGCCGCCTGGAGCCCGGTCTGTGCAGCCCTGGGCACGTGCCGGTGGGACTCCCGGACCGTCCCGGGCTGGGTGCTGGCCGCTCTGCCATGGAGCCTTCAGCTCCTCCTGGCAGCCTGGGGGGGCCTCCTCGGTGGAGGAGGAAGTGGGGGTTCAGCTGAGAGGTCCTGGTACATTGGCAGGTAAGGGGGGTCGGGGAGGGGTCCCCAGAGTTTCCACCAAGTCTCAGGATTGACCCCCTCTGACCCCTATTCTGGGATCGAGGGGCAGAGGCCACGACCTATGACCTGAGTCTGGGAAGTCACCCAGCTTTGTCCCGGGCCAGGGGACGGGGCAGGGCTCCAGAACAGTCTGTCCCAACTGCCCTCAAGTCCATCCCTCGGGGGGTCCGGCACCAGGTGGGCCCTTCCTGAGCCCTGGCCCCCTCTGGGGCGGCTGAGGGGCCTGTGCCCTGGCGTGGGGTGGGGTTGGTCTGTCTGGGTGCCCGCAGGGTCCAGCCTGGGGGAAGCCCCGGGGTTCTCAGACGGGGGTGTCTGGACCCAGCAAACACCCAGTGCTCCCCCAGGTTCCCAGCGGCTCCAGGCCCCATTGGGGCGAGTGTCCGGGGGCTGCAGCCACAGACTGGGCCGAGAGCAGACCCTTACCTGGCCGCTGAGTGTGGGCAGAGCTGGGCCCAGGGGGCTCGGGGAGGACCTTCTGAGGCCCCAGCTCCTGGTGGCCCCGCATTCCTCCGTGTCCCCCGACAGGTCAGGGCTCCTCTCCCTGTGTCTGTGTGCCTCTCCACTCGGCCTCCTCAGGAGCCCTCATCCTGGGCTGCGGCCGCCCTCCCCCAGGTCACCTCGTCTGGTTCCTCCCGTAGTCACACCTGCGGAGAACAGGTGGGCGATCTCTTGTGGGGCCGCCGGTCAGCCCACAGCAACGCTGACCCGCTCTGTCTGGGCTCCTCACAGGCACCCGGCGGAAGGCCCAGACGTCGCCCCGGGCCTCAGTGACGGGGAGCCCCCGCCCCCCCAGCTGTGCCCCGGCTCCCGTGCCCCCCAGTGACCTGTGTGCTTCCTCACACCTCTACCCACTTCACGTCCTGGACTCCTGGACGCAGAGCAGGTTCAGATGTGACACCTTCCCTGGGGGATGGGGAGGAGCCGCCTGCCTCGCCTGGGCCTCCGAACGAGCTGCTAGAGATGCCTGTGGGCAGATTGCTTGGTGCTCAGTTGCAAGGGACGTAAAATCAATCCCCAGAAAGGGGGTCCCTGAGCCGGGGGTTGCTGCCTGTTAGATTCCGGCAGATGGTCCTACTGTGACGGGTGAGGTCAGGTTCCCGCTGACGCACCCGGAGCCCCAGGCTCTGGGCCCCCTCCTCTCTGCATTTCCTCCGGCCACGGGGGTGCCCTGTCTTAAAGGGGGCCCTCCAGCCTGAGGCCGAGCCACCCCAGCGGGTCCTGCCCACGCTGCGAGTCCCTGAGGGAAGCGAGGGGTCGTGGCCTGAGTCTGGCCGGCTGTGTCCACAGGCTCCCGGCCGGGACTTGGCCTCGGTGTCCCCGTGTGAGACGAGGATCAGAGCATCGACTGGGTGCCTACTGCGCGCCAGGCACCCTCCCGGCCCGCGGGACCCCGGGAAACGGCCTGGCGCACAGGGGCTTCCGGAAACACTGGCTCCTCCCCTGCTTTTCTTAACTGCACAGCTGAGCTCCCGGCCCCACGGAGGAGTCCATTACAAGCTGGCCGTCGCCTCGCGGTCATGACCCCGCAGGGCCACCGCCGAGGCTGCGGGCAGGGGGGGGGCTGCCCCTTTTACTGCTGAGGGGTTCCATCCAGGCGAGTGGAAAGTGCGACTTGCTGGTGATAAAGCCGCTATTGTCCGCGGCCCTGGAAGCGGCTGATGAGTAACTGTGTGTGGCCCTGGCTCCAGCCTCTAAAAGGCTTGTTTATGCGACGAGAACAGGGCGCAGTCTTCCTCCTGCAGTTGTCAGTGGGCCCAGAGCCCGGCCGGTCAGGGCCCAGGCGACAGGATGGGTGTCCAGCAGCCCTGGGTGTCCCCGTGGACCCACTCACACGGGTGCCCGCTCTGTGCCGCCCCTCCCCCCCAAAGCAGGTGCGGCCACGGGGGAGGCACCCGGCAAGGTGGGGGCCTCCTGGGGTGGGAGGAGCTGGCCCTGGGCCGGGCTGTGGGGCCCGTTGGCAGGCAGCTGCCTGGGAGCCTGTGTTTGGAGGTGGCTCCTCCAGAAGGAGTGGAGGTGCTGGGTCCGGGCGGGCTCTGGGGGTAAGAACCCAGGACCCTGGTGCTGGCTGGTAGCCACATGCCGGCCCTGCGGGAGGCAGGGACCCCGCCCCAGCCCTCGGTGAGAAGTGGAGGCACCGAGTGGGGTGCCCAGCATTCGGGGCTGGGGGAGGGCTGGGGTCTCCACTGAGCCTCTCACTGTCGTTGTGGCCACAGCAACAAGGAATGACGGCCGGGGGCTGGCCTCTTCAGGACGCCCTTGTTCCCACAAAACCCCCAATGCTGCCGAAACGGTCCTGGCCGGAGTCACAGCGCCGGGGAGGCCATTAGGGGGTGGGCCCTACGCCAGCGACTAGCGGGGAATCCGGACACGACACCCGCTGGGAGAGGCCGGGGCGGTGGAGGCAGAGATCAGGTGATGGGTCTACATCCCAGGAACCCCAGGGACTGCCCGCAGCTCCTGGGAAAGAGGGGCGCGGGCGGCGCTCAGCAGCTGAGCGTTGACCTATGAACCGGGAGGTCACGGTGTGATTCCCCGTCGGGCACAGGCCCAGGCTGCGGCTCGATCCTCGGTTCCATCTGTGATTCTCTCTCATCCCTGATGTTTTTCTCTCTCTTCCTCTTCCTCCAAAATCAATACAAGTATATTAAAGATAAACATGTATTTTAAATGAATAAGAAAATTTTATTTAAAAAGTTAAGAATTGGGGAGAGGCACCGCGCAGAAGGAGCCAGCCTGCGGCACCTCCGGGCGCTGATTGACTGTCGTCCTGGGCCGCCCGGAAGCTCATCGCTGCCCGTCACTGCCTTCTGGCCGGTGAGCGAGTCAGGCCCCGGCGGCCCTCACCGCGTCCGCAGCCGGCCGGCCGGGTGGGCTCCGTGTGCTCGGAGGCTGTGTCCCCGGCCCTGCTGAGCCGCGCTGAGCTTCCCGCCCCGCGCTGGGTGCTGTGAGTGGTTCTCAACCTTCCGGCCCTTTAAATACAGTTCCTCCTGTTGTGACCCAACCGTAAAATTATTTCCGTTGCTGCTTCATCACTGTCATGTTGCTCCTGTTAGGAATCGTCATGTGAATACCTGATCTGCAGGATGGTCTTAGGCGACCCCTGTGAAAGGGTCGTTCGACCGCCAAAGGGGCCGCGACCCACAGGTTGAGAACCGGTGGGCGCTGCAGGGAGCCTGCCCGGGAGCAGGCGGGGCCCAGCGGCGGGGGCGGGGCCTTGGGGGTGGGCGGGGCCTCGCTGCGAGGGCCAATCGAGGCGCTCGGCGCTCGGCCGGCGGCCTGCGTAGTGCGTGTACCGCCCTTAGAGGCTCCGGCGCCACCATCATGTCTACGGCCATGAACTTCGGGTCCAAGAGCTTCCAGCCGCGCCCGCCGGACAAGGGCAGCTTCCCGCTGGACCACTTCGGTGAGCGGCGCGGGGTCTCGGGCCGCGGGGGGCGCCCGTCGGCGCGTCTCGCGAGACGTCCGGCACCTAAGTCACCTCTCGGCCTGAGGTCTGCGGTGGCTAAGCTCCCGGGCCAGTCAGGGCTTCGGGAGGTCGGTGCTGCCGTCCGCAGCGTTTCACGGGGCACCTCAGGCACAGCCCGGGGCGCTTTGGGGACAAAACGCTGCCTTCGCTCCCGTCCCAGGTGAATGCAGACGCTTCCAGGAGAAGTTCATGAAGTGCCTCCGCGATAACAAGTTTGAGAACGCGTTGTGCAGACACGAATCCAAAGAATATTTAGAGTGCAGGATGGAGAGGCAAGTGCGGGCCCCGCCCCCGGCCCGGGCCCCGCCCCCATCGGCGCGCCCCCGCCTCCACCCGGACGCTGCTTTCCCAGAGGCCCCTGCGGCCGCCCCGGTCTCCTTGGGGACGCGGCTTTCCCAGAGGCCCTTGCGGCGCTGGGTCCGCCCCGCCCGAGCTGGGGCCGGCGCGTGCGCACGGGAGCTTCTCCCTCGGGGCACCCCGCGCGGGCCGCGTTCCTCCCAGCGTCGTCTCCGCAGACCGGGGTGGGTGCCGTCCCGGCGGTTTCGGCCGAGTGAGGAGCCGGAGGCGGGGCGCAGTGGCTCCCACCCCTTGGCCGTGTGTTGCGCGGCTTGGAATGTGCCGGCGACGGAGACCGTGGGCCACACAAACGTGGGAGGCGGAGGACTTCGGACGGCGCCAGTTCCCACCGCTTGTGTATTATTTCTTGTTGTTCATCCTCACCCGAGGGTGCTTTTCCATTGGCCTT